GTTATTTTTGATGGTCGGGGGTTTTTTTTGATGGTCATGGTTATTTTTGATGGTTGGGGTTATTTTTGATGGTCATGGTTATTTTTGATGGTTATTGTTATTTTTGATGGTCGGGGTTTTTTTTGATGGTTAGGGTTATTTTTGATGGTTGGGGTTATTTTTGATGGTTTGGGTTATTTTTGATGGTTGGGGTTTTTTTTTGATGGTCGGCGTTATTTTTGATGGTCGGGGTTATTTTTGATGGTTAGGGTTATTTTTGATGGTCAGGGTTATTTTTGATGGTTTGGGTTATTTTTGATGGTCGGGGTTATTTTTGATGGTTGGGTTTTTTTTTTGATGGTCGGGTTTTTTTTTGATGGTCGGCGTTTTTTTTGATGGTCATGGTTATGGGCTACGGAATGCATCATGTCAATGGGATGTCCTCACTAAGATATCAAAACGAGAATGTGTGTGTGTATGTGAGACACACATAGCCTGGACTTATTAGCTGTGTAGTTTAATACTAAAACCAAGCTGCTCTCCGATGCATCCATCGGAGTGAGTGGTAGATAGAAAGCACTTATGCATAGAAGGCTAAAAAACAAGAAAACTGTATAAATTATTAATAATTTTTGAAATTGATAATAATATGCTTGGATAAGGTACATAAGACATAAAGTAAAATGCAGTAGCAGAAAGAAAAACAAATTAAAAGAAACGAAAGACAGACGTTTTCTGACAGTGTAAGCTGATGATAGCTCCGCCTCCATGAGTCTTCTACAACTCCTTCACTTGTTATACCTGTAATTTACAAATAATCTATAGAAACAGAGAGAAGCTCACAGACAGTCAAATGTGTACCGTCTCCCTCTCAGAGCCAGATTTTGTGGGCTCCTTCTCCATCCCTGACACGCGCAGCCCGGACGATGATAAAGTCTACTTCTTCTTCAAGGAGAGGGCGGTGGAGGCGGGGCAGTGGGACAAGAGGGTGTACAGCCGCGTGGCCCGAGTCTGCAAGGTAACAACGAACCGCTTCGACGTGATTAAGGTTATTTTTGATGGTCATGGTTATTTTTGATGGTCGGGGTTATTTTTGATGGTCGAGGTTATTTTTGATGGTTTGGGTTATTTTTGATGGTTTGGGTTATTTTTGATGGTTTGGGTTATTTTTGATGGTTTGGGTTATTTTTGATGGTTATTGTTATTTTTGATGGTCGGGTTATTTTTGATGGTCATGGTTATTTTTGATGGTTGGGGGTATGGGCTACGGAATGCATCATGTCAATGGGATGTCCTCACTAAGATATCAAAACGAGAATGTGTGTGTGTATGTGAGACACACACAGCCTGGACTTAGCTGTGTAGTTTAATACTAAAACCAAGCTGCTCTCCGATGCATCCATCAGAGTGAGTGGTAGATAGAAAGCACGTATGCATAGAAGGCTAAAAAACAAGAAAACTGTATAAATTATTAATAATTAATTTTTGAAATTGATAATAATATGCTTGGATAAAGTACATAAGACATAAAATAAAATGCAGTAGCAGAAAGAAAAACAAATTAAAAGAAACGAAAGGCAGATGTTTTCTGACAGTTTAAGCTGATGATAGCTCCTCCTCCATCTCTATAACTCCTTCACTTGTTATACCTGTAATTTACAAATAATCTATAGAAACAGAGAGAAGCTCACAGACAGTCAAATGTGTACCGTCTCCCTCTCAGA